ATGAAGTTAATTTTTGTTTTGGATTTCTTAAAAAAGGAATTGTTAAAATATGTCTTTTTAAAGTAAATTTTTAAAAATGGGAATTCCTTAATGTATTTTTTCTTCATCCCTATAATCCTTATCATTTGCTATGTTTTAATAAAAAGAGCTATAGTCAATTTGGATTCAGTTTAGCTGTGCCAAAACAGAGCACTACTCCAAATTTCTCTGTTTCTGTAAGGTTTATTGAGAAGCAATCCGATTCCAGGTTGATCTGGTGTTTCTGGCTCATTGTGGTTCAATCTCTTTCATCATTCACTCAGTTATGTAAATTTTGAGGATTTAACTTGATTTAGTGATTCTGCCTCTTTTCTCTTTAGTTTTATGAGAAGTAATCCCATTCAAAGCACATACTGTTTTTATGGTCCAACCAAACCCTTAATGTTACGTTGCTTTGAGTTATGAGAAGTGGAAGATGTATACTGAATTTAGTGTTCCTACTTCTTACAGTTTAAAAGTTCTCAATCAGACAGACAAACTCTCCAAAATATATACTATTCCAGCTTCACTCCATGCTGCCTCATAATTTCTGTGCATTTTATTTATAAAGTTTTTGCATCATCAGAATGGGGGAAAAACCCCCAGCCAACCTTCCCATCTACAAACAATCCCAATTCAAAAGGAAAAAGACAAGAAGCGGTTTTACCAATAGATAAAAAAGAGGTTTTAAGCAAAGAATGATCACAAGATTTTAGACCCATTACAAGTTCTCCCTCCAGGTCTGAGACACTTTCACTTCCGATCTAATGAGTCTAGTGGAAGATCAAAGAAATGAAACCATAATTCCTAAGCACCGAGAGCTCAGAATGGGAAACTAAGGAAGGTGGAGGAATAGAATATGAAGATAAATTCTACACAGCTCAGACAGGTGGCGGCAATTCTGAGATGACGGGAAAGGAGGGAATGTCTCCAACATACCCCATTGTCTTTGGGTGTCACAGAAACTGTGGTAATGAAATATATTTTAAATGAAAAAATGGCACAAAAATAACAGCTGTTCAACACAACTCCTGGCAATGTGAATGCAAGTGAGCATGAGGGAACTTGTGCACAAAGGGGAACTTGGTGACTGATGGAAACTCCTTGCTGTGGGAGGAACAGTAGAAAGGAGATGCTCCATGCTTGTTTTGACTGATGGAGTGTAGGTGAGGTTATGAGTAAATCCCAGCAACTATATGTGGGCTATATCCAATGTTCCTGCTTCTCTTTTCCATCCATGTGTGGATTTTTTCCCATCCACATGGGGAATAATTTTATGTGCACCGAGGCATGTGCAAATGTGCACCACCAGGAGAAACACAAAACTAGTTGTGGGCACTCTGCTAATCAGCTGAGTGGCATGGGAATCTCTCCTGAGTGGTTTTACAACTATCCTTGTAGTAATGGAAAATCCTAGAGAAGATGAGGCCCAGATACATTTGCTTTGATGGAGCTAGTTGAGCTAGTTGAGTTGGGTTAAATGTAACCCAACATTTAACATTCCTGTATGTTCCCCAAAATGCAGCAGTGCTGCAGTCAGCCATTTTGTGGCTAGCTACAAACCAAACACCAGATAACTAAAAATAATCTTAGGCCTTAAAAGCCGTGCAGATGCATGTTTGCATTTCTGGTAATTACAATTTAAAGAAAGTTACAGTTTATTAATAATAATAATAATAATAAGGTTTAAATATCAAAACTTGATTTTAAGTGCTTCTAACATATACATGTTATTGTTAGAACAAAAAAAGCGTAAAAATTTGCTATTTTTTAAACGGCAATCAGGGTTTGCTGTGGTAACCCACTAAAAGTTACTATACGTTATGTGCTTTGTTCAAGTTATCAATAACTTAAAAAAAAAATCTCCTTAAAGAAATCCAAGAAAACTATTTTTTGGGCAAGTCTAACATCTAAACTTCCCAGCTGCCAGATGCAAGGAGAACCCTTGAAAGTCTCATTGTTAATTCCTCTAAGCTCCTTATAACTTTGATAAACATGTTTTAAGTGCTCTAAACCAGAGCTGGGAACCTAAGGCCCGGGGCTGCATGCTTGCCTGGATCTGGCCCCCAAGGCTCAGGGCCCGCCCCCCACCCTGCACTGGGGATCCGGCCCTGGCACTCCAGCTCTCCCCCACACCATGGGGCTGGAGCACACAAAATCTACCATGTTGGGTCCCTCTAGGGTCTGGTGTGTGAGGGGAATGTGGGGAGTGCCTTTCTGCTTCTCAGTCGGGGGCCACATCAGTAGGGATTTGGGGTTTTTGTTTTGTTTTTGCTTCTCACTTGTGTGACCCATGACTGATTTTTCTGTGGATCAGTGGCCCTGGACCACTGCTTTAAACCTACCGCTACAAGGATGTGTGTGTGCTTAACACCAAATAAAATACTTTTAGGTGAAACCACTCTTGTTTGTGCCAATCATTTATCAAGCAAAAAGGTGGTGTCCCCATTAAGTTATTTCGAACACCTCCTTTAAAAAAACCCGTTCAAGATACCACCGCTTTGGGTTCTAAAATCTCTGGGCAAGAGATATGGCAAGCCGACCAGGAGCGGTGGAGAGAAGGGGACAACTGGGAGAAATCGGTTTGTTGTGGAACAGAGAAGGAGCAAGGATGGAACCTGTAACTTCCTCGTAAAGTAGTCTGCAGGTCAATTTACAAACGTATTCCATTACTGGAATTCAGAGCTTAGGCTCATCTGAGTCTGGTCAAGTTAAGACAAAAAAATCTAAATAAGACTGATAAAAATAATGTAAAACACTTAATTGATTTTGTATACAAGAATAGTGCTGGTTTTTGAAATCTTGACTGGCATTTGAGCATTACTGCACTCCGTAAAAAATAGTAATTAAATTCATTAATGGCAAAACTCTCTCTCTAAAAAAAAATGTCCTGCAGGATGACCGAATGACACCATCACGTCACCGGTGTCCCCAGGCTGGATGGCATGGGTGGTGAAAGCCCAGCTGGGGAAGGGAAACTCCAGCCCTGTCCCTTCTGCCTGAGGCCCTGCCCCGGGAGCCAAGCCCCACCACTCCCAGCCCAACCCTGCCTGGTAGAGAGCTGGGCTGCTGCACTGCGGCCCCAGCTTGCTCCTTCCCGGCAGCCAGGTGAAGAGCTGGGGCTGCCACATCATGTACTCAGCCCTTCTCTGTGGGGGGGAGAGCCGGGGCAGCTGCAGCCTCCACCTTCCCTGGTGGCCAGGGGGAGAGCTGGCCCTCCCCGGTGGCCGGCAGGGGGACAAGGGCTGGGGCTGCCGTGCCATGGCCTCAGCCTGGCAGCCAGGCTCTCCCTGGTGGCTGCGGAGGCGGGGGCGGCGCGGCCTTGGTCCAGCCCACCAAGACAACACCCCCCCAGCTTCCTCACACATCCTCCCCATACAGACTCTGCACCCCCAGCCCGCTCAACTCAGACTCCCCCAAACTGAGACCCTGCACCTCCAGCCCCTTCACTCACAACCCTGCTGAGACCGTGCACTCCCAGCCCCGCACACACCCTCTCTGCCAAGACCCTGCACCCCCAGCCCGCTCAACTCAGACTCCCCCAAACTGAGACCCTGCACCTCCAGCCCCTTCACTCACAACCCTGCTGAGACCGTGCACTCCCAGCCCCGCACACACCCTCTCTGCCAAGACCCTGCACCCTCACACACACCCTCCAACAAGACCCTGCACCCCCAGCCCGCACTTGCCCCCTCCCCCCAGCTAGATACCCTGCCCTCAGCCTGCTCCTGTACCCTTCCCCTGGCCAGACACCCTGCCTCCAAGTCTGCTCCTAAACCCTCTCCCTGGCCAGACACCTACCCCCAGAGAGAGGGGGGTTGGCAAGTATAGCAAGCAGGGGGCACAGCCCCCTAGTAACAAAAAGGTATTTATCCAGCCTGAAGGTAAAAACAAATATCTTCTGTGCCACCACCCTAACTCAGGGGCCACCCATTGTGGCAATGAAAAAGCAGGTGCATAATAATAAGCAAAAACTAACAGGCTGAAGAAAAAAATAAATTAAAATAGCAAACAATAAAAACCAAAACCACTAATAAAGCCTTACTATAATAAAGTCCCCAAATAAAACCGCACAGGGAAGTAAAAGACAAAGGATTATCAGTTATCCCTATGGTAACTTAATATATATATATATATATCATATCTAGGTTTTTTGATATTTATTTGTTTCTTCTGGTGGTGCAAATCACCTCACAATTTGGTGCATATACAAAATTCATTCTGCAACTGCATGAAAAAAAGAAGGAACATTAGCAGTAAGTCATGGCTGACTCTAGAGCCCAAGGAGTTCTGTAATTTTCAGCAAAAGTTTGATTTTTCATGTTATTATTCTCTTTGCACCCTTTTCACTGCTATTAACCCAGCTGTGTCTATGGAGCTCCTGGGGCCTGAGGCATTCCTCTCACTATATACTGAAATTCAATTTTACTAAATACCCTATTCTTCGAGAGGATTTTTTTCCCAGGGTATATGCACGCACTCAGTTTTGAATCACTGAAGCAACAACATTATTTTATATCTTCTTGTAGGCATCTCCACCTGCACTGCCTGTTATACCTTCGCAATCCGTGAACACTCCAGTGTCAGGGACCAGTCGAAAAGGAAGCATTTACACAATGAACTGATGGTTGGTATTTCAGAGCGGGCCAACAACTAGGAGCAGTATCAAAAAAAGAAGGATTGATGGCAAATGGAAGACAGAGGCAGGCTGAGAGACTGTTGATTGGACTCAGATTTTCAAACCGCTGAATGGATGCTGGAGCCTTGGTATTCAGCCTGGATTCAAAAATTCTTAAACTAGGGTCACCCACAATGTCCCCTCTGATTTTTTCTATCCACATGCAGAAGGAATTTTGTTATGTGAAGCACCACAACCAGATAATGTGAGGATGTGTGCCACCAGTAGAAACATATATTTTTTAAAAAGTTACCATAGGCATGGAAGAAAGAATATAACAAGGGATAATTAACAAGATGCACTGCTTAAAATGTTGATTTAATAGGAAATCAAATTAAAAAAAATGTATCAGAGGGGTAGCCATGTTAGCCTGCATCTGCAAAAAACAACAAAGAGTCCTGTGGCACTGTAAAGACTAACATCTATTTGGGCAAAAACCCACTTTGTCAAATGCATGAAGTGGAAATTACAGAAGCAGTCATAAATATACTAGTGCATAGAACAAAATTCATTCTAGTATATACTTGGTTAGTATACCTGTTAGTCTTGGAGGTGCCACAGGAGTCAAATTAAGAAGAAAATTAACACTACCAAGTTTTCAGTAACCTTTTAGAATCTTACAAGATACACTGCTTAAGATGTTACTAAAATCAATAATAAAAACCAAAACAGCTAATAAAGTCTTACTAGAATAGAGTTCCCAAATAAAATCCCTAGGGAAACCCCTCTGGGATCTTTTAGAATCTTACAGATCTTTATTTCTTTGGGGCATAAAACAAAGCTATCCATTTTCTTGACATAAGAAAGAAAATATTTTATCATTAGTACTGTTGCATAAAATAAAACAATTGATACGCTTTCTTTATGCTTGAAATTAAAGACTGTATCTCTTGGTGTGAACCATGAAAAACGTTTTTTATGTAAGTGTCTTTCCATATTGCAATAGATTCTTGTAAGTTGTGACATAAAATTCAATGTTCTTTTGTTTTGACACATGAAATAAATTAATGTATTTTTGTGATTAGACCACTAATCACTGTCACTGGAATGAGACCTCGAGCTGGTAGTTGGCAGGCTAGATGTTGGGACAGATACCCGCCGCTGGTCACGAACCTTTTCTCTTCTGTCTCTACCACTCTTCCAATGATTATAGACAGTATCAAGGTTTATTTCTCCTGCATTTGCAGTGTGAAATTTTATCCTCATTAACATATCCAGGTGAGCTTCTTTCAATCTGCTCCGCATTTTAGTTTTGATATTATTCATAAGACTGAAGCCACGCTCACAATCAGCACTGGATGCTTGGAAGGTTGCACATATATCCACCAGTTGTGAAATGATGCTGTAGTGTTCTGCATTTTGTAGACTGAAAGACACCATTTCCTGGAAATTTGTCAGCAGCTTTGCCTCATGTTTCTCTGAAATTATCCGTTTGTAATCTTTGTACTGGTTCACAATGAACTCCTCTTCCTCCTCCTCCTCCTCCATGGTGTTTTCAGCAGACAACGTCACTCGACTAAGGTCCAAAATTTTTCGGTATTTGTCAACTAGCTTGACAATGTTTTCACTGCCAAATTCATGACTGTTTTGCTGGGAGGAAAGTGAAGCAAAGTCAAAAGCTGCCCATTCATTTAGTTCTTTTTCCGGGAACCTTTTATTGAGATGATCACACAGTAGGGACACGAAATTCAGAATAGTTTCACCGCTAAATTGTTCACCTCTTGTGCGTGAGCCAATGAGGTGTTTTACACTGTTGCTCCAAAAGACTGTTTCTCCGAGATACTGCCCTCTCATCTTTCGAATCTGGTCCCTTGCTAAGTGCACAGCTTCAACAGTTGTTAAGGAGCTCTTCTGAAAGCATTTGGTCAGCTCTGCTAATTCGTGTAAAACATCATTTAATGCCATTAGCGTGATACGGTAATTGGTGTCAGAGAGCTTATTCAGGCAGTACTTTGCTATTGGGTCATTATTTTCTGAGAGTTCACGTTCAAAGTACCTGAGAAGGGTCTCATAATTGCGCATGAGAGCGCTTACCGTGAAATGTCGAGAAAGCCACCTCACTTCATTGAGAGGTTTAAATGATACAGTCTCATTTTCGGTGACATTTACCATTTCCTCAAATTGGCCCCGTCCGTCTGAGGATCGGCAGAAGACGGTGTAAATGGTCTTCAAAAGTGTCTCTATCGTTCTCATCATCGGTACTTGGTTCCATGCCTCAACTAACCCCAAGTCTTCTCGATGGGCCACACAGTGCTGCTCTATTAAGTGCGGAACATACTGCTTGAGTTGTGTGGCAACTCCATTGTTTCCCCCCAGCAGGACAGAAGCACCATCTGATGTGAACATGACCATTTTCATCAAATCCAGCTTATTCAGTGTGTAGAAATCTTTGATAGCCGCTGTAATAGCTTGCGCATTACAAGCGGATAATTTTATAATGCCACCAAACACGGTTTTATAAGCTGCAGATGCTGCATCTCTGAACTTAAAGTAAATTATCAGCACCTTGTTAACACAAATATCTGCACTTTCATCAATAATGAGTGTGTGGTAAGATGAGAGGCGAAGCTGTGACATGATTTCTGCGTGGACAACACTGTTGATGGACTCCAGAAACTTGAAAGCATAGTTTTTGCTACGCCAACTCGCTGGAAGAGGCAGATACTTTGCCATGTGGTCGTTTATACTTTGCACACAGTTCATGGAGCCATTCATATGTATTGCAAGCAGAACATTGTCTATGAGAATTTTTATTTCTTCTGGCTTTGCACGTTGCCTCTCCATCAGTTCCAGTTTCTTCTTTCTGTTATTAGTGGTTTCTAATGGAATACATTGCATGTCAAGTCTCGGTAGGTGAGAATTTGCACCTCTAAGAATATGTACAGCAGATTCGTGACCTCTGCTAGATAAATGCCTCTTCATGTAGTCCAACTTCCATCCATTTTCCCATTTCTTGCCCGTAGAGAAGTCGCTGGAGATTCTAGCATTAGCACACATTTTGCAGATCAAGCCCACATCGGCACTGTACTGGAAAATTTCCCTTAGCTGCACACGACTCTTGCCTCTAAATTGCTGAGATTCTGTTTCGACTATTTCATCCAGCCACTCTTCTTTGAATGTGAGGCAGCATTTCTTCTTAGGGTTTGCCTGTTTGCCGGCTAATCCTGTTTGCCTTTGCGTACAGATGGCTGTTAAAAGGAAGAGAAGGAGATCATGTATCCTGTTTTTAGGGAAAAAAATCAGAGCGCATGTATATAGCGGATATGAAAAACGCAGCTGCTCCTGTTGCCTTTGCCAAGGCTGACTCAGAGCTCAAGAGAGGGCCAAAAGGGGTAGGATTCAATGTTACTTAATAGGTTTTAAACACTTTTTGTTTGCAAAATCTAGGCAAATTAAAATAACGTGAGCTGTGATTCCTAGCACTGTGTAGCGAAGTAGCTCAAAAGGAAGGAGTTTTGATTTGTTAGCATAAGCACACAGGAGTAATTAATGCAGAGACCTCTCCTTGCCCTGCTGCAGCCCCAAGGTTGAAGGGGGCGGGGGGAGGATTTCTCCCCATCCCAGAGCAAGAGGGGAATTTGTAGACAGCGGGAACTGTTTTCGGGGCTCCTTGACAAAGAACGCAGCAGGGTTATTTTGGGAAAAGGGCTACGAGGGGTGGCCTGAGAAGACTGGGCTGCTTAGTATAGGCAAGGGAGATTTGGGTGCTTGAATGCAGACCTGCACAGCATAATTCAGTGATCGCTTTGCTGCAGGGGACCATTCTTGCGAGATGGAGGCAAGACTGAATAGGTCTGCTCTAGCTAGAGAAAGCCACAGCAGAGAGCTCGAGAGAGACCGGGCACGGAGAAGGAGAGTCAGCGCACACAAAAAGAGGTAAGGGTAGTACTGTTTTAATCTGAACACACAGGGATGGACAAACAAGATCCACAGTCACACACATGGAAATCTGCAACCACCCCCCCGCGCAGAGAGAAGAACGCTCAGAGTCAGAAAGACCCCCCCACCCCCACCAAGCATTGCTACAATCAGACGCTTGGGCAAATCACTCTCTTTTGCGATCATCTCCCATGAGTGCAAGCACACAAATCACGCAACATGGTTCACTGTGAGAGGCCTCCCTCCTCAGCTGCCAGGGCCGCAGGGAGAGGTGTTTCTCCCCACTGCAGCCCTGCATGCCCCATGCTCCCGTATGCACCTCCCCCACTTCACTACACTACCCCACCACCTACGCCCGGTCTCCACTTTCCCTTACACACACCTAAAGGCCACCCGTGGCTATGCCGGGGTGGGCAAAATGCAGCCCGCTGGCCAGATAAGGCCCATGGGAGCCTTAGCCAGGCTCCCTGCCTGTCCTTCCCCCACACGCTGCTCAGAGCAGCTGACTGCTACAAGCCCAGGGGGAGAGACTTCGCATGCTGCCCCCGTCCCCAGCACAACCTCGCCGCTTCCTTTGGCCACTTCCTGGACAATGGAAGCTGCCTATTTGCAGGATAGGCAGCACACAAAGCACCTCTCCCTATCCAGGCTCACAGCGTTCAGAGCCACATGGCCCCTATCGGCTGCTCTGAGCAGCCTGTGGGCGCATGGAAGGCAGGGAGTCTGGCTGAGGAACATGATGGATTGCTTGCTGGGTGCTGCCTAGATAAATGCCTGCTGGCCAGAGGCTGCATCTGGCACCCCAGCCCCTCCTTCCCCTAATCCTCTGCGCCTCCGTCCCCCTCCCAAACCCTGTCCCCCAATACCCTGCCCCCCCTCCTACACTCCTACCCAGGTCACAATCCCTGATCCTGCACTCTCTCCTGAACCCCTCCCCTGGGTCAGAATCCTCCCCTGCATCCATACCCCTCCTGGACCCTGCACACCCACAGTCTCCTACCCCAGGTCACAATCCCCTCCTTTATTCAAACTCCCTCTCAGATCCCACCTCCTCCTGCACCCCAATTCTTTATCCCAAGCTCCCTTCTGCACCCAATCTCCGTCCCAGACCCTGTACCTCCTCCATTAATATCATGGAAGAGTAAGAGCCAAATTCTTGGAGTGGACCCCCTACAGGGGTGGTGTAGGTGGTTACAGTAGGGGGGCAGATTCATCTGGGTTCTAAGTAAGAACATCCGAATGCCACACTGGGCCAGACCAAGAGTCCATCTAGACCAGTATCTTATCATCCAACAGTAACCAATACCAGGTGCTTCAGAGGAACACACACAACAGGCAATCATTCATCGATTCATCCCGTCACCCATTCCCAGCTTCTGTCAAACAGAGGTGCTGGATACAGCAGAACATGGTGTTGGATCTCTGCCTACTGTGGCTAATAGCTATTGAAGGACCTTTCTTCATCAACTTACCTAGATCTGATTTGAACCCTGTTATCGTCTTGGCCTTCATATCCTCAGGCAAAGAGTTCCACAGGTAGACTGCGAAGAAATAATTTTTTTGTTTTAAATCTGCTGCCCACCCATTTCATTGAGTGACTCTTTGCTCTTGTGTTATCTGAAGGAGTAAATCACACCTCCGTAATCAATTTTTCTTCACTATTGATGATTTTGCTGGCCTTTGTCATATCCCCTCCTTAATCAGGTCTTTTCCAAACTGAAAAGTCCCTGTCTTTTTAACCACTTCTCACATGGAATGTGCTCAGTACTCATAATTTCTGTTGCCCTTCTCTGTCCCTTTTCCAAATCCAATATATCTTTTTTCCAGATGGTGTGATCAAGGCAGAACACAGTATTCAATATGTGGGCGTATCCTGGATTTAGATAGAGGTGGTACGATATTTTCTGTGTTGTCTATCCATTCACTAATGAGTCCCACTGTTCTGTTGGTTTTTTAGATTGCCACTAGACATGAAACAGATATTTTCAGACAACTATTTACAATGGCACCAAGATATCTTTATTGATAGGCTCAGCTAATTTAGTTCCCATCATTTTGTATGCATATTTGGGATTGTATTTTGCCTTGGGCATTTATCAACATTTATCAACATTGAATTTCATCTGCCATGGTGTTGCTTGGTCTCCCAGTTGTGTGAAATTCTTTTGTAACTCTGCATAAGCATAAATTTTGAATAAATGTTGTATCATCTGCAAATTTTGCTAGTTCACTGTTTACCCTTTTCCCTAGACCATTTATGAAGCAGTGGTTCTGCTACAGACCCCCGGGGACAGCACAGTTTACTTCTCTCTCGTCTCAGTAGTTTTTCCTACTCTTTATTTCCTATCTTTAGCCTGGAGTCCTTGAAAATACTTTTAGGATTTTCTCATGAGCCTTAGTTTACTTTAACGAGAAGTCTTTTGTTACCTAAATTACCTCCCACTGTTTATATTCACACTCCCTGCTGCAAAGGCTCTGCTTCCAGCTTCTGAATTCATCACACTCTGGGATGCAGTTAAGCGCTCTATCTGGGACTAGAGTGAGTAGATCCCTGGGGAAAAGTTCCTCCTCCCCCCCCCCCCCCCCCGACCACGTAGTGCCCCCATTTCAAACCCAGAGTTGACAGATTCGAGGCCCCACTCTGTGTTGACACGCCCTCAGGCTCTGTTAAATGCTAGGTTTCCAGCAGCCTCCTCTCAAATTAATTGGTTAGATCAAGAGAACCTGCTATAGCCACTGCACTTCCGTGTGTGCTTGAACAATGATGGCTATCAAAGAACATGGCATTTTTCTTGTCTTCAGCTGGAAAACCCTTCTGGAAGTTTAGCCAACAGCTACCAAAATTTCAGAGCTAAGAGTAATGTTTTGAAGTGCTCTGATGGCCCCATGCAGATTCACACCTGGCCTGCTCTTTCAAATTTGGCAGCATATCTCCCTCAGGCACCATCGGTCTCATGGCTACACATGTGAAGAACCCTTCACCGAATTACAAAAGCAAAATCTGGAGTGTAGACACAGGTCATTAACTTCTTTAGCTGAGTTAAGGTCGCCCAGTGCTGCCATATGTCCTTCCAGAGTGGACGGTGACTAAATGTAAAGCTCTGAAAACAGAGTACACATCATCCCGTGATGTAACCTTAACTCTGCCCCCACCCTTTGTGTTATAGAAGAGGCCAGAAAAACCTATGAAACTATAACAGAGAGGAGAAAGGACTAAAAGAACATGCCACTATGTGTGTTCCACAGTTTGGAACGCCAGCATTTAACTGCATGCCCTCCAGTTGCGTGTATTGGGTCAGCCATAGCTGTAATTGGCTGGCGGAAGGGTTAGCTGGAACGAGGTTGTAACTGAGTTATGAAGCGAGGTGCATTTGAACCCTCAGGGACCTGGTCTGCCCCATTCCATTGCTGAGTGTTGTAGGCTGTGTCAGTAACAGTACATGGTGCACACGTTCTGGCCAATGGGACTGTCAGCAGGCTGATGGCAGACACACTAATGGTCCCCAAGACCTAGTGAGGGGCAAGTCAAGTCAGTGACTCAGAGTCCTCAAGGCGAGGGTAAGGGAGTGGCATGATTTTGCAAGTCAGAGCTGGTTTGCGTGTAGTGCGCTCTGTTTGACTGAGGGGCAGGAATCTTCTGTTCATTATGCTGGACCTACGCCCCAGTTTTACCTTGGCAAACAGGAGATGCCCGACTATTGTGATAACTGCTCCTGTGCTCAGTTCCCTGTAGCAGAGGAGGTTAGAGCGCTAGTGTGTGTCACTGGCACATTGGGGTGACGCAGAGACAGGGCAGAGTTAAGGTTGCATTGGGGCAGAAGGGCATTGACCTTAAATGGTCACTTCCCCTTCTAAGAATGGCAGGGACAGGACTCCTTACCCAGCGAGGACACGTTCTCGTAGTTCTCCTGCATGACGTCTCTGTAGAGGGCTCTCTGAGCGGGGTCCAGCAGAACCCACTCTTCTTCGGTGAAATGCACAGCCACCTCCTCGAAGGTCACCAGCCCCTGAAAGGGCAAGAGCCCAACACTCAGCACCTGCTGCCCCACCACTCGTGCAGGAAAGGATTGAATAAAATGGAAGCTCCGTGTGGCTCACAGTGAACCGAGTCCCACCCCCACCCTGCTCAGAGCCCTCAGGAAGTACCCGGTTGAGGGGATGAAGACGGAGCCCTGGTCTCTCCCAGCAGGTCCATCCTACTCCGACTAGCCAGAGACTGATACAGGAGATGCAGCCCCATGGCAGGCAGCCCAACACCCTCCTCACTGTGAGGAGCTGGATGTGGAGGGGCAGCTGGAGAGGAAGCTCCCCTGAGCCTCAGTGCTGGGGGTCCCCCTTCCTCTCTCCAGGTTTCAGCACTGGGAGTCAGGCCAGTTTTCCAGCCCCACCAAGGCAGGTTGTTTCCTGTTCCACAAGTTGGGGCATTTCCCCCAATAAACCTCATGGGTCTGTTCCTAGAATCCAGAGCACATATTAATGAGCCCAGGAGGCGTTCCCAAACCCCGTCCTCCCTTTCTCCTCCCTCTGTGTTTCCTGCCCTGCCCCACCTTCCGAACCAGACCCAGACCTTCCCACCCCCTGTGTATTTGCTGCCCCCCCTCCCCAATGATCCCTACCTGAACTGGTTCCACCGCAGCCATTTCTCTGCCCTGTGCCAGGGCAGGAGGGAATGAGCTGGGGTAAAAGACAGACGTCGTTCCGCAGCCTGGCGGGGCGAGAAGGGCGACTGTGGAGGTTTCAGAACAGGCTTGAGTTAATTTCCCATCAGGACTCCACCAGGCCCTTTCCCTGCAGGCTCACCCCCTCGATCTTGCCACGCTGGGAAACACGTGACCCCTTTATTACAGTGTGGACGTGGTCCCCTCCAGCCAAGGCTGAGCCCACAGGGGCATTTTTAAGCCTTCCCAGTAACCAAGTATCCGAACAAAATCCTAAAAAAGAACAAACCCAAAGAGTCCGGGCAGGTTCCATGAGGGTCACGGATACTCGCTTCTCCACTGCCCTCCTGCGCAGAGCTGTCCCATCCATAGGATGGGGACAGGGTAATGGCGAGGTACTTCAGGGGGAAGCAGAGTGCAGGGCATCCAGGGGGATTAGCAGGGGGCCTGGTGCCACCAGAAACCACTGACCTGGCTCTGACGGCTCCTGGGGTTGCTCGGGAGAGTGGGTGAAAGGCAGGGAGAGGGCAGGGGCTTGGCGAAAGGGGTAGAGTGGAGGTAAGGAGGTGGAGTAGGGGCAGGAAGAGGCATGGCAGTGGCAGAGCAGAAGGATATAGGCAGGGGCTTGGGGAAAGAAGTGGTGGGGAGGTGGACCAGGGGCAGAAGAGGCAGGGCAGGGGTAGGGGTTTGGATTGAGCGGGGGCATGAAAATGCTCTGGCACAGCAGTGCAGTGCAGACCGCTCCCCTTCCTCCAGGCATAAAGCCAATGAGACCGTTTAAACCTGACATGGTTCCTGAGCACAGCGCCTTCCCCTAGCAGAGGGAGACCTATGCAGAGCCGAGGACCAGGCTAGAGATGTTAGATGTCGTGTATTTTAGTAATCGTGTAGCTGCAACACTTTTTAGCAGTTACAGTTACTAAAATACTTCCTGGGGGCAGGGCTGGCAGCCAGCGCCCTCCCAGCCCCACTCCTGGGGAGCCCCCTGCCACACCACACTGCTGATTTAAAAATCAGCTCCCCTCCAAGACTGGCTCCTGCCTGCCGCCCCATCCATGCAGGACCTGAGCTCCCCGTGGACAGAGGCTGTACCAGCATCCCACCTGCCTCCTCATCCACTGCTGCCTCTAATACAGAGGCAGCAGCACAAAGTAGAGGGGAGGCAGGCAGCTCTGTGGGAAGTGACACTCTTGGGGAGCTGGCTTAAAGGTCTGCTTCCCATGGGAACCTCCCCCCCCCCCCCCCAGAGCGGGGAGGTTGCGTGTAGTGGTTTGGCTTAACCGATATTCCCAGGCTTATTAGTTAATCGTTTAAACGACTATATGCTAACATCCCTAGATCAGGCACAACCTGTCTAGTGCCGAGACAGGAACTGGATCTGAGCTCATTTGGGAGCTTGTGACCCGTCTTCCCTGCGTATTCCTCCTCACTATTTTCTCCTCCCCCCGGCTCAGAGACTTGGCTATTTTCTATTCCTGGAGGAATTCACTCTACTGAAGGGGTGCCACTGTGAATCCACACTCTCTGCCTCATCTCCGTCTCTGCTGACGGCTGGTGAGGTGTCAGTGTCTCTGGCTGCAATGGAGACATGGCAGGGAAAGGGTCACTATCGAATCTCACAGCTGGGGTTCCAAGCGACGGAAAAGATTATGAATGTGGGTTACACTGAAATTATTATTTCCCAAGGTTGTTCTCTATCTGCTCCAGCCACTAGCTGCGCCATTCACTTGGTGCACGTGCAATGTAACGCCCTCTTCCCATTCGTAGCCAATAGGGAGGCAACCTAACACAGGATCCAGCGCAGGGTTTCTCAGCTAGTGGGTTGCAGCCCCAAGGGGTCCATGACAGGCCACCCAATGGGCCGTGAGATGCTGAAATATTACTAGCATCCTAAGCCAAGAAAATACTATTCCCCTGCTTCCTTCCCGTTTAGCCCCCAAGAACAAGTCTTGGAACACACCCTATGCAAGTTGTATAGGATCAGCCTTGATCCATTTTTTAGTTTCATCTCACAGTAAATGCAAGGAGATGACAAAGAAAAAAATAACAAAAATGGGGTCACCATGTGAAAAGTGTGAGAAACATGAACCCGAGCTACAGCAGATCCTCATTCCAAATGACCATCCATAGACAGTCTGTATGCAGTAGACCAGCCCCTTTACTCAGCCACTGTCCGTACAGGATTCGCCTGGACTTCCACCCCACCCCTGGGACTCTACTGTCCACACCTGCTCATTTTGACTCACTCTCTAAATCTTCAGACTCCTCAAAGCATGGCTATTTCATTCCCGTCGCATCCTGTTTCACACCTCTCAGGGTGTTGTTCCTTGCCCCCAGGTCAGGATTGGCTCTGAATGCCCAGCAGACGTGGCAACAGAGTGAATCTGTGATAGGGCTCACCCTGCTTCATGTCTTACTCAGCTCTCAGGCGCACATGGTGGCTGGAGGCCGTGATGCCCTGTGGCTAATACTGCATTTGGTCTGGAATCTCCCCAGGTCAGAGACAGACACGTACCTGTGTCGCTCCCCAGCTCCAACTGCAGTGTCTCTAGGGGAAAAGGAGAACAGGAGAGGTGAGAATTCAGGCCCTCGCATTCATTGGTCCCCTTGGGTTATTCATGTAACTTTGTTAGCTACGAGATGTGATGCAGCCTGAGGCCGGTAACATGAACACCACAGCCAGCACCACAGGGCACCTGACTTGCTACGCAAGGGCTGTGAGATGGTGCCCAGGGTCAGTGACATCACTAGAGTCCCTGACTCTGCCCCAGGGCCAGAGGAGATGCTGCCCCCAGACTCCCATTCACCTCTGAATGCCAGCAGCATCTCCTGCAGGCGGACGCTTGTCAGAGAGAAATCGCTGAGTCTCTGCTCCAGCACCACAAAGCTCGGCTCTGGAAAAATTCCGTCCTCCCTGCAGGGGGGGAAAGGAGACGGGGTAAGAAATGGCCTGATTCCCAATCCCTGTGTCCCAGCAACATCCCGTCTCCAGCAAACCTGGATCTAACCTTTGTTTCCAGATATGATCCCAGCCAGTGTTCCCTCTAAGGGCGAGGCAGCCCAGCTTCACTGGTGATTAATCAGCCCCACCCAGTCAGGCAAGCTCCCTGCAGGGAGCCCTGAGCCTCTGACTGGGTGGGGCTGATTAATCACCTGTGAAGCTGGGCCGCCTCACAGCTTAGAGGGAAAACTAGCCAGGGTTCAGGTGAGTCAACTGCCTGCAGCCCTATGCTCACTATGAGCCCAGAAAGATAGGATGTGGGGAAAAACGGGGCGAGAAATGGAGATGGGTTCAGAAGCTTTTTCTGGGACACTCTGATTCTGTGGGGAGCAGAGCCACTTCCTGCACTGGGATATTCCAGCAACAAGAGGAACCAACATTGGGATTACATGGAATGGGAGGAGACAAGGGTCAAACCTGAGAGCCTGCATACTCGGAAGATGTGATGCAGTCACATAAATATGCCAGAGAGGCCGAGTCCGGCCCATGGGCTAGACATTCTGGAGATCGGGAGAAATCCCGGATGATTGGAAAAAGGCAAATGTAGTGCCCATCTTCAAAAAAGGGAAGAAGGACGATCCAGGGAACTATAGGCCGGTCAGTCTTACCTCGGTTCCCGGAAAAATCATGGAAGGGATCCTAAAGGAATCCATTTTGAGACACTTGGATGAGAGGAAAGTGATCAGGAATAGTCAGCATGGATTCACAAAGGGCAAGTCGTGCCTGACCAATCTGATTAGCTTCTATGATGAGGTAACTGGCTCGGTGGACATGGGAAAGTCAGTGGATGTTATATACCTTGACTTTAGCAAGGCTTTTGATACGGTCTCCCACAATATTCTTGCCAGCAAGTTAAGGGAATGTGGATTGGATAAATGGACGGTAAGATGGATAGAAAGATGGCTAGAAGGCCGGGCCCAGCGGGTAGTGATCAACGGTTCGATGTCAGGATGGCGGTCGGTTTCTAGTGGAGTGCCCCAAGGTTCGGTTCTAGGACCGGTTTTGTTCAATATCTTTATTAATGACCTGGATGAGGGGATAGATTGCACCCTCAGCAAGTTTGCAGATGACACTAAGCTAGGGGGAGAGGTAGATACGCTTAAGGGCAGAGATAGGGTCCAGAGTGACTTAGACAAATTGGAGGATTGGGCCACTAGAAATCTCATGAGATTCAACAAAGACAAGTGTAGAGTCCTGCACTTGGGACGGAAGAATCCCAAGCATAGTTACAGGCTGGGGACCAACCAGTTAAGTAGTAGTTCTGCAGAAAAGGACCTGGGGGTTACAGTGGATGAGAAGCTAGATATGAGTCAACAGTGTGCCCTTGTAGCCAAGAAGGCTAATGGCATATTAGGATGCATTAAGAGGAGCATTGCCAGCAGATCCAGAGATGTCATTATTCCCCTTTATTCGGCTTTGGTGAGGCCACATCTGGAGTACTGTGTCCAGTTCTGGGCCCCCCACTACAAAAAGGATGCGGACGCATTGGAGAGGGTCCAGCGGAGGGCAACCAAAATGATTAGGGGTCTGGAGCATATGACCTACGAGGAGAGGCTGAGGGACTTGGGTCTGTTTAGTCTGCAGAAGCGAAGAGTGAGGGGGGACTTGATAGCAGCCTTCAACTTCCTGAAGGGAGGTTCCAAAGAGGATGGAGAGAGGCTGTTCTCAGTAGTGACAGATGGCAGAACAAGGAGCAATGGTCTCAAGTTGTGGTGGGAGAGGTCCAGATTGGATATTAGGAAAAACTATTTTACTAGGAGGGTAGTGAAGCATTGGAATGGGTTACCTAGGGAAGTAGTGGAGTCTCCATCCCTAGAGGTGTTTAAGTCTCGGCTTGACAAAGCCCTGGCCGGGTTGATTTAGATGGGATTGGTCCTGCCTAGAGCGGAGGGCTGGACTTGACGACCTTCTGAGGTCTCTTCCAGTTCTGATTCTATGATAAGGGGATGGTTGGATGAAATAACATGATCTTGGTAACTAATTGACCATTCATTTCCAGTTGGAAATAGGTCAATGGAGGGATGATAGGAGTTGCTATAGGGAACTTTCTGGGTGTCTTGCCACCTGCTCACGTGACCACTGTGCAGTTTTGGCTGCAATGACGATAAACAGAGAGACTGGGGAGTTTACCCCTCTCTGAGCCACAGCGTGGGCAGGCTCTGGAAGCAACAGTCTCCCTGGCCACCGGGGAAGGCTGCTCTGTAACCAGGAAGGCTAGAAACTTACTTTAAAAAATTGAAGGTTCTGAATACGTGACGTTGCCACATAAATACACCGGACAGGCTGAGTCCGGCCCAAGGCCCATGTGTCTGACCGCCCTGGTGGGACCTCATTAGCTGTCAGACAGGGCCAGGCCCTGCCCCGTGCTGAGGCAGCCGCTAGGGGAGACAGATCCCAGGCTCCGAGCCGGCGTGTCACACTGCACGGGCAGGGGCAGCTGCACATTCAGGGCAGTTACCAGACCTAACACACCATGAGGGGGAGTGAAAAGAGACCAGGACTTACCTGCCCCCAGCACTGCCAGTGCCCTAGAGAGGGAGACAAAAGAGGCAGTCAAAGGCCTTGTCCCAGGCTGGGAACCTGCAGGGGATTCTCTGGCACTTAGGGAATTTCCAACATCGGGGGTTTTGCTCAAAGAGTGGCTGCCATCTCCCTCTCCTCACCCCCAGGGAGAGTTGCAGCCCCAGGCACTTACAGAAAGAAAATATTTCTCTGCCTTGAGAGTGAAATGTCCCCAGGGATGGGGCAATCCATATTTGTCATTAATAAGACAATTGGAATACGCTTTATGCAAGATACTTCATCTGCTGAATTGGATTATCCTGTTTGTGTGCATGTACCATTTCTGTAGCTGAAACTGGGAATACTGACTGTAGATTTATTATCCCCTGACTTCGGTAGCCCATTAGCCTGGGACGAGCCAGGTCTTAGGCCTGGCTCGGGGCCTCTGCACTGGGGAAGGGAATTTCACCCTCTCAGTGCAAATGCAGACATTTATAGGAGAGGAGAGAAGGTCTCGGGTTTGCAGCATCCAAGATCATCCCTGGCTCTGCCACAGACTCACTGCGTGACCTCGAGCAGGGCTCTGCCTTGGTTTCCCTCTTCATCCCATAGAGATAATGCTCCAACCCCCGCCTTTGTAAAATGCTGTGGGGTCTAGATATGGAAAAAAGTAGTCGATTAATCGACTACCCAATCAGCCTAGGCTTAGTGGGTGGTTGAGTCAACTACTCGTATCCTCCCCCCCGCCACTTGCTGCCTCTCTATCAGAAGCAGCAAGGGGGAGAAAAGGAGGAAGCAGGAGAGTGTTGGGGGAAAGCCAGTTTAAAAGCCCCCCCTTCCTGTGCTGCTGCCTCTATCAGAGGCAGGATTGCGGGAGGGCCAGGGGCTGCCAGGAAACAGGGGAGGCCCTGCTGGGACCCCATGCGAGCCGGGACTGAGCCTGAGCACCCGGCCCTTACTACAGGTCAAACCTCTCTTAACCAGGACTCTCTGGTCTGGCAACATTCTGGGCCAGGGATGTTCCAGGACCAGAGAGTCCAAGGGAGGGCTGGTGGCTAGGAGCCCTGCAGTGGGGCTGGAGCCCAGTAGCTCCTTGTGGCAGTGAAATCAGGAGGCCTGCAGCAGTGCTGCCACCTGGTGGTGACACCATGGGGGGGGGGGGTAGGAGGAGGTGGGAGACAGTGGAGCTGCCCAACAAAGCTGGAACCAAGTGGGGTTGCCATCTGATGGCACAGCTGGACTCCAGCAGAGCGACTGCCCCACAGAGATGGGAGCGCAGCAGGGGGGCTGTTCTTGGCGGTAGCAGGGCTGCCCCGGTGGGCCTGGAAGCCCTGTGTTGAGGGGCCAGTGGCAGGGGGAAGCTGCCTGAGAGGTTGGCAGTGAGGGCCGGTGGCAGAGGGGGGCCAGAAATGACATTCCCTGGTCTGGCAAAATCCCTCATCCGGGGCCGGTCAAGTGTTGAGGGTGCTGGACCAGGGAGGTCCCACCTGTACATTTAAACTGCAGAGCCGCAGCGTGGGGAGCTCCTTCTGAGTGCCTTCCCTTATCGACTAATCGTGTTGTCGATACAAATTGTATCGACTACACGATGACCCAATTACCCGCCTCAACATCCTTAGTGGGGCCTAGGGCTGAAAAGCCCCCCTAGAAACGCTGCATGTGATCATTGCAACAACAACCTGACCTGCAGGGACTGGGTCAGTAACTGCTGCCCCTTCTCTCCTCCCCTCTCCCCGAGCAGGGAAGTTTCCCAGAACAGTCTGCAGACGCCCTCATCCCGCCTCTGGACAATGGCTCGCTCCAGCTCTTCCAGCCGGAACAGCAGCAGCTGCTCCTGCACTTCCAGAAACCCACGCAGCACCTTCCACTCCCAGGTGAGTTTCTGCCGCTCAGCTTCTGTCCATTTCTGCAACAGCAAGGAGAGGGAGGGTCAGTAACGGGGGAGAGCCATAAATGCAGCTTCCAGCAGGCGGGGGAGTTATTTACCAGAGCATGGGGTCTCTGGCATGGGGTGCTGGGAAGCTTATTTACACCAGAAAAGGTGGATGGATCAGGGCAGGGGTGAGCTGTACATCGCTCATGGAGGTGGGGGGAGGGATCGCTCATGGGGGGATGATGACCAACCCCATTCGCCCTCCCCACCCCCACACATCATCTCTATCCATGGGGCTACTGAGGCACTGGAAAACTTTTTTGGGCAGACAATACAGCAGTTTGCTGACAGAAGCACTGTATCTAATTACTATATAAAAAGAAGAAAACTAAATAAATATTAGACCCACTCAGCTCTAACACTAACATGTTCTGGTATCTTTCAGAAAGTCACTTAACGGACACTGGTTAGCCTTCAAATATTCTTACTTTATTACTAACTCTGTGGAGAGAGACAGACCCTGTCAGAACTCCTGGGCTCTATCTCAGCTCTGAAAGGAAAGTGGAGTTTACTGGGTTACAGAAAGGGGGCAGATACATTTCAGCTCTATATAAGAACATCAGAATGGCCATACTGGATCTAGGGATGTTAGCGCGTAGTCATTTAAACAATTAACCTATAAGACTGGACTTATTGGTTAAACCAAATGTCTACATGCTCTCCACCCCGCCCCCTGCTTTCCTCAAGCACGGGCTTCACAGAGCTGCCTCTGTATCAGAGGCAGCAGCATGAGGGAAGTGTCCCCTCGTGGACTGGCTCCTGCTTGCCACCCCATGCTGCTGCCTGATACAGAGGGTGACAGGGGGTTCTCCGGGAGCACACTATCTGCCAGTCCAGCCCCCAGAACCATTAAATAATCTTGTAACCACTAAGATTGGGTGCAGTTACATGACTATTAAATTAAATTATATCTCATATCCCTAACTGGGTCAGACCAATGGTCCTTCTAGCCGTGTATCTTGTCTTCCAATAGTGGCCAATGCCAGGTGCTCCAGAAGGAATAAACAGAAGAGGCAATAGTCACGATCCATCCCTTGTCGCCTATTCCCACCTTCTGGCAAACAGAGGCTAGGGACATAAATGGACCTATCCTCCTTGAACTTATTTTGTTCTTGCTGGAACCCTGTTATAGTTTGGACCTTTCCATCATCTCCCGGCAAGGAGTTCCACAGGCTGACTATGAAACACTCATTTATTTTGTTTTAAATCTGATACCTATACAGTTAATTGGGACAATTTCTTGTATTATGTTATTGAAGGAATGAACAACATTTCCATATTTTATTTTTCCACATCAATCATGATTTTTCTAAACCTCTGACATATTCCCCCCCAACCATCCTTTAGTCATTTCTTTTCCATGCTGAAAAGTCCAAATCTTGTTAATTACTCCTCATATGGAAGCTGTTCCTTACCCTTAATCATTTGTCTTGCCCTGTCTGTACCTTTTCCAAATACAGTATCTTTTTTTAGATGGGGTGACCAGATCTACATACAGTATTCAAGATGAGGGAATACAAAGACTTTATATAGAGGCAATGGTTTTTCTTCTTAGTATCTATTCCTTTCCTAATGATTCCCAATCTTCTGTTAAACTTTTTAGACTGCCACAGCACATTGAACAGATATTTTCAGGCAACTATCCACGAGTTCAAGATCTCTTTCTTGAGTGGTAACAGCTATTTTAGACCCCATCATTTTTGTATATAGTAGGGATTATATTTTTCCATGTGCATTACTTTGCACTTATCAACAGTGAATTCCAGCTGCCCTTGTGTTGCCCAATCACCCAGTTTTGTAAGATCTCTTTGTAACCCTTTGCAGGCAGCTTTGGATTAGTCCCTGTTCACTCCTTTTTGAAGAACATTTATAAATGTAACAGCAGTGATCCAAATGCAAAGCCCAGCAGTACAACACTAATTTCTACTCTTCCTCCCTACCTTTTAAGGGAGTACCTGGCAATGTTTTCATGATGATCTAAGGATTCTTCAATTACCTGAATAACCAGCCTTTGTTATTCTTAATCACCTGCCTCCCTCTTTTTATAACGAACTCCCTGCCCCAAAGGCAAAGCTGCAAGCAGCTCTAACACTTTTGCATTTAAGAACTGCTCTGGAGTCAGGGCACGGGGCTTTACGCAGACCTGAAATATGAATTCCAGGGGTTCCAACTTTAGGGGGGGGCTGCTGCCTCCAGTCGTCCATAAATGACACCCTTGCCGGTGGGGACAGTTTTTTGGCTGAAGCTTGCAGGCTGGGCCCTGCATTTACCATGGCACTGTAGGCTAACCTGGGGGGATAGGAGGCTCCAGGCACCTACCAGCAGCTCCTCGCTTTGTCGCTGCATTTCGGCTCTGGCTGCTTCTCTCTCTGCTTGCAGAGGGGCCTGACACTCCCCCGGTGCCTCCTGGAAGAAGCAGGGGACAGGGGTCACAAGCTGCTGCAAAAGGCCTCACAACTGCTGGGTTTCAGAGCATGTCCTGCCCTGCAGATGCCCAAGCAAAGTCCCTGGGATGCACTTAGATGTCTTTTTCCCAGCCCTAGTTCAACCTCAGTGAGGCTGCTCTGAGAGGGGCTGGTAAAAAGGGGACCAGGTTTCTCAAAGAAAACACAGGATCCCTCTAGAAGTGACAAGGTGCATCCCAACCCCCCAGCTCCCCATGTCCCCTGTGCCCCTCACTCACACATTTAATTAACATCAGTGAAAATATGAACATGGACCTTCCCCAACCAAAGGGCCCCAATAGCCCCCCATCCCAGTTCTGCCCCCTCCCAAACACCCTCCCAGCCCCAGTAGCCCCCAT